GTTGTTTGTTGTTTGTAGTAATGTTCACGCTAATAATGAGCTAATGGAACAGTTGGGACAGCTGCAAGATAAAGTATCAAAATTACGCCAACTTTTAAAAGTTGCCACTTTAAAAATATTAGAGGAGCGATCCAGTCTACCAGCTAACTTGGAAGGTTAGTTTGTGACCACACCCATAAAATCACACTCACTTTTGCATAGATATGAGTGTGGCTGAATATTCTGAGCTGTTATCAAGAGAGCCACAGAGAATGAGGGAGGAAATGACTGAGCTGAGACAAGAGTTTGATAGCTATAAGCAAAAGGCACAGCTTGTGCTGAAAACAAAGAATAATAAAGTAAAAAAATAATAATAATAAATTTAATAATAATAATATCGTCATATGTCTAGGAGCATGAATCCAATAAAGAGTTTTACGAGTTGCAGGAGAAATATGAGACAACTCTTGAAACTGTGGAGAGACTCGAGAGAGAGAAAGAGAAAGCGAAAGAGGAACACTCGCTGGCTCTTCAGAAACTAAGAGCTAACCTCAGACAACAAGCAGAGAAACACTCTCAGGAAATGCTACAAGCAGAACTGGAGCATAAGGTAATATACTGGAGTATACTAGTAATTTACTGAAATATACTGAGTAATATACTAAAATGTATACTATAGTTGGATTACTGAAGTATACTGTTATTTTTAGCAAAAGCTGCAAGAGTTACAGCAACACATTCAGTCAACGAGAGAGAGGACAAGATGTCTGCTGGAGGAAAAAGAGAAGGAATTGTCAACACTTCGTAAATCATTAGGAACAGAAAGGGGCGTGGCAGGAGGTGGAGTCATGCTGTCTCGGTCTACTAGTCATAATTCAAGCAGCAGCAATGAAGAGAATGAGAGTATGTTTGAATGATATGGACACACGTAATAAATGTAATAAAAATTGGAGGTGATTTTGGAGCCATTTTTAATAAAAAGCATGTGCTATTTAAGGATATTTTTTAAAAATGAGCTCATTTTTATAATTAGGATTGAGAGAAGATTTATCATTGACCAAAAGAGAAGAAAGGAACTCAATTAGAGTGGGCGGAGTAAGAGGAGGAGCTTTATTTAGTAGCAATATAGTACAAGAACTAACGGAACAAGTAACTTTAAATAATTAATAATAATTCAATCTCCCTTCCCCTCTCATACATGCAGTCATTTCCAGTTAATAATGACGTACAGTTGTATTTGCATCATCAAGAAAAAGAACGGATTACTGAAGAACTTTTGTCACTAAGATCTCGTAAGTTAGAACTGGAAGATTCTATGAGAGACCTAACTGAAAGGTATATACGTGTAATGTGTGACATCATTTGACATCATATGACATCACAGGGAGCAGAGGCACTTGGAGCAGAACATGCTCTTGAAGGAAGAGATAAGGAAATTAGAAAGAGACAGGTAAGGCATATCCTTAGAGTCTTCAAAAATCAGGCCAAATTCCCTGTACTATAGTACATGGTCTCGGGCCAAATTTTGTCAAAAATGAAAAGGAGAGAATTCTTCATTTTTATAACTTTATCTGATACATATACATGTACTTATGTTGTGTAGAAAGTTTGAGCTGATTCCGATCAAGTTTGGCTTTTTTACGAATTTTTGAAGTTGCTCCGAAATCGGGCCAAAGTCCCTGTACTATAGTACATGGTCTCGGGCCAAATTTTGTCAAAAATGAAAAGGAGAGAATTCTTCATTTTTATAACTTTATCTGATGCATATACATGTACTTATGTTGTGTAGAAAGTTTGAGCTGATTCCAATCAAGTTTGGATTTTTTACGAATTTTTAAAGTTGTTCCAAAATCTGGCCAAAATCCCTGTACTATAGTACATGGTCTCGGGCCAAATTTTGTCAAAAATGAAAAGGAGAGAATTCTCCATTTTTATAACTTTATCTGATGCATATACATGTACTTATGTTGTGTAGCAAGTTTGAACTGATTCCGATCAAGTTTGGATTTTTTACAAATTTTTAAAGTTGCTTCAAATGCCATGTACTGTATTGTAGTTCTTGTCAGCTCATGAAGCTCATGCTGTTTAGTTCACTTAGCAAATTCATAGTACTTACTTATTATTCATTTTAGGTCAAGAGAAACAGAAAATTTAGAGTATTTAAAAAACGTCATATTTCACTACATGTGCTCAGACAGTGGACAGGAACAACTCATCGTTCCCATAGCAACAATACTTCATTTCACGCCAAACGAGGTAATGACAGGTGTACAGAGAAAAAAAGAGTTAAAAAGTATTGTCAAAAAAACGATGAAATTAATAATTATTGTTCCGCTAAAAACTACAAAAAATACACTGACAGTCACACTGGTAGTTCATTGATGAAAGAGGTGTGGCTTTAATAACTAGAGTATCAGAGTCCTTCAGCGTTGTGCATGGCGTAAATAGCAGCTGTTATTTCAAAGAACCCAAAGGCGAGACCTATTGTCCCAATATAGTACAGGTGGTCACGAATAGCATCAGATATGTAATACTGACAGCCCTACAAAAGAGAAAAGATATCGTTTAGATCTACATTTAGAACTTATAATAAAGCATGAGAGACCAAAAGTTTTCTCAACTACCTCTAGATCCAACAATTCTTACATCAAAGTACGTGTACATGATCCTGTGTTTGGGCATTGAATATTCTCTCATATTCAGTAACCATTGATGCTGCACTCTCAGTTACCATTAAATGCATTATCAATATACTTACAATGCCTCGTGGTATGTCAATGTTCTCAACTGTCCTGTATCTAGTAGCATTCATACATGACTCATCCTCAACTGCACGACCATTATTAATGTAATCTTGAGACCCTGACATAATACCACAGCAATGGAACTAAAGGGAGAGAGAAATTAGGAAAGTTTAAATATAATGGCAACTATACTAATATAATTACGTAGACTTGTGTTTATTAATTTTAAACTCACGTCCACTCTGAATTGATCACGAAGAGTTTGAGTCCTTTCAAATTCTGCATCACTACGATATGTGTTAGTTAGGGTCGTACCCACCTCATCATACTAATAATTAATTAATGATTGTGTTTTTCTAATATTAATAATGACTTACCACAAAAAACCATTGCTGTAGTCCAAATATTCCAGCTGCTAGTGTCGGTAGAATCACAAATAAACTGGCAAGAGTGTACTGAGGAGGGAGAGATGTAATATCATACTGTATTAAAGCACATACACACACCCACAAAGATACAATTGTACATATTAGCATACATACATGTAGTTATATGATTATTATTATTATTATTATTGTATTAGTAGATCATATATGGGTTGTGTATACGTGTAGATAAGAATTGGCAATAGTCCAAATAAATTGAGACAGGAAGTCATTGCACACAGACAAACCACACACTCTATCTTTAAGATCTTCTCTTTACTCTATCTCTCTCTCTCTCTCTTCCTCCATCACTCATCAAGTATACAGTATAGCCTCTCTTAATGGATACTCTCTATAGCGTACACCTCCATTTAACGGACAGCACCTAGTGTACCAATTACATTCCTTACTGTATAAAATAACCTCCACATAAAGGACACCTCTGTATAACAGAGACACTTTTTGGCCCCAAAGTGTCCATTATGTAAAAGCACTTCTGTACGTGTAAATGAAAGGGCCTTTGTTTGCAAGAATGAAACATGGAATTATCAGAATGAGAGTATGGAGGTATGGGTATGAAACACTTACTATAGTCAGTAGGATCCTGTTCTCCAAGAAAAGGCCAATCATACCAAGGAGAGCCAGGATCATCTTAACAGCTCCTACCATAACAAAGAGGGCACCGCCTGTTAGGTAGACTGAGCGGGCAAAGATATCAAACCCAAGAAGAGAGGCTATATTGTAGATACCAACTGCCAACATACCAGCCCCCATGCACTAAAAGGAGAGAAAGAGTAGGACGCGATTTGCAATGATTGTTTGGCTGTTTCTTACAAAGAAGAGTATGTTGAATAGGAAGAATATTATCTTAAAGTTCTGCTCCACTTGAGCCATCCTTGTTTTCTTTCCTTGTCTTGTTTTGGTTGACTAGCTCAGGGTTGTTTGGAATTGGGTGGGGCTTGTATTTAGAATCAATAACTAGCCACACCTCTTTTAATAAACTGCAATTTTAATTCAATTTTTATTTTTATTTTAGATTAGAACTGTGAAGAGAAGACTCTCTGGTAGACCATGGCTGCTCAATTATCCGTATAATAAATAAATTTGACAATTTTGTAATAAATCCAAATCATACTAATGAATATTGATATTAAAAATGAATATTAAAAATGAATATTAAAAATGAATATAAAAATGAATATAAAAATTGAAATTCTGGTCAAAAAAGATTGTTCAAATGTCACAAGAATTAAAGGACTCCCTTTGCCACTAGTGATTGAAGTGTGTCATGACTGATTTCCCTCAAGGCATAAGTGGGTGTGTTCACGTCAAACAATAAAAATATATTGTACTGAAAGTTATTAATTGCATAACCTTTGAATCCCTTCAGAAGAGAGAGATTTTATGTAAGAAAGAAGACAAATTATTGTACATTATTTAGCAAGAATAGTAACTAATTTATTTACTTTTGTGCAGCTGTAAGTTTCTATAATCTTGTGGGGGATCCTATCCTTTGTCAATGGTACCAGATTGTAGCTGTCATTGTTATTATTATTTTTAACTCCGCCCAGTTCATCATTGTCCTCGTTAGTAGGCGGGGCATGAGTGGGTGTGGTGTTCTTATCAGAAGCTGTTGCAGGTGCATGTATTGGTAGAAGATTGTCGGCAACCGTTTTATAAAATTGAATCAAATAGTCTCTTTTTTTATTATCATCTAATGCTCCTTGATATCCTAGAGAAAATATACTTTTAAATGTGTGAACTAATTTCAGTAAATTTAGCAACGGAGCATTAAAGCATAACATAGGAACATGTATATGTATGAGAAAAAAATTATAAAAATGGAGGATTCCCTCCCATTCAATTTTTGCAAAATTTGGCCAAAATCCCTGTACTATAGCACAGAGATTTTGGAGCAATCAATTCCTACATTTCTAATAATAGGTACAATATAAATTGTACCTTTGCTGAGCAGTGCAGGGTTTCTCTCTTGTGTCTCGTACGAGAGTACCGACAATAAGGACCGACGAGTTAATAAGTTAACGAAACAGAATCCAATGACGCTGGAGTCCATGGTAACACTGAGGGGGAAGGCCCTGGGTACCAGCAAGGGAAGACTAATGATCTTGTCACGTAATGGAAGCCAAATCTGTACCACAATCTTTTGAGCGACGTCGAGAGATGGTTCCGTGTCACATAAGACCAAGAGAGAGACGGAATCATACAAACGGAATACTAATAACCTGTGTGGTGACGTATTGCTAGCCACTGGTAGGTACACTGGTACATCGGTACATTGGGTTGGCGGTAGAGACGAAGGGAGGAGCGTCAACAGGTTGGAATCAATAACGTCCAATTGCCACCTAAATTATAATGGATAATTATTAGGGGTGTGTCTGACCACACCTACCAGCTTTCAGTAGCGTGTATTATCTGATGATTCACTATTAAGCAGCTGTAGTTACTCTCTATTGCTTCACTTAATGACCCAAGACCGTCCTATTAATGATTCATTAATTATTCATAGTCTGACTCCGCCCACTAACCATTAATGATTTATGTTCGTGATCAACTAAAACCTCGACTGTTTGTGTAAGAGGAGACATGGTGAACTGGTTGCCTAGCAACAGGTCTATCAATGGGTAACAGCACTAGATACAAGAAAAAGACATTATGATTCCCCTCTTCCTCTCTCCCTCCCTCCCTCTCTCTCACTCGTAAATCTCTCTTCAGATTCTCAGGATCTTCAATTCGTAATAAATCAGGAAGACCAATCAAAAGGACCTAAATCAACAACAACTATTATTATAAAAACAATAATAACAACAATATATACCATAGCATTAAAAATGAGTGTCGATAGGTAGTTGCAGTGAGTATCAGTTGGGCTGTCATTAGTAGAGACAAGGATCAGCGTTAGACTACGAAATATATAATAATTATTGCAAAAACAACTTTACTTTACCAATCATGAAAGTTTTTCCAGACTATTCTAACGTTCTTGCTGGTACAGCTAAGCAAGGAAGCCTTTGCATTCTCAGTGAACCAATGGACTCCGTTAAGAGATCCTACCACAGGGAAGGACAGCTGTTTGAAGTAAAGCCAAATGATTTAAAAGTAAAATGGAGTGAATACTAGCCTGGGGTACATCTCCTTTGGTTCTTATGAAGAGAGGGACGCCAGTGGAAGATATTATCACAGCCAAATAACAAGCAGACATGTCTTGTCTACTAGCCACACCCGTATGGTAGTTATTATGGTTAATTGACTAGTTAATTATAAAATACTGCGCATGCTCAATATACATACACATGTGCAATCACGTGTGTTAAATTTCAAGGAGAAGAAGAGAACAACCTAAAATCCATACAATGTCTGAAGCTGAGCCTTGCTGTAAAAGACTTAAATTTGATATTTCTTTCTTTGATGACGAGTCTGATGATGATTTCTACCACTCAGAACCTCCTATCAATCGATCCACTGCAAACCAGCTTCCTTTGCTGATAGATGATTATCAAGATAAGGAATATACTAATCCGTTTGATGGTTTGATTCCCTACCAAATGAGGTAATACAAGAGATATACATGTTCCTCTCACTCAGAGATAAGATGTCCCTTAGATTAGTCAATAGAAGGCTCTACATGATATGTTCTGATCCTTATTTGTGGAGAAACGTTGTTATTGATGATGCCTATCATAATACAAATGCCCCATTCATCAAGTCAGCTTTACGAACATGTCGCCCACATGTACAGTCACTGAGTTTAAGGGGACAACTACCATTCAGTGCATATCAACGAATGATTCTTAGCTTTGATAACATTCATACTTTGAATCTTTATGGGTTTCAGATTTCTGTCAATGCTTTGGAGAAGATTTATTCAGCTTTACATCATTTGCAGTTCTTAAGCCTCGCTTTTCCTTACGGGTTTCCTTTTTCTAGAGAAAAATATTTTGCCATTTTTGCTAAGTTGAAAAAAGTTGTACTGGTTTACAATTATTTTAAACCAGTACGATTTTTTAAGCTATGGTTGTTAAACAACTGCTTACCTCAAACATTTATTGTTGTTTCAACTTATGGCAAGCAATATTGGTCCAGGAATATACACCATCTTCCCAATGTCACTCATTCAGCTTATTTTGCAGCTTATAGGAAATTTCGCCGACCTTTGGACTTTGATTTTTATGATGTACCCGAGTACTCGCTCGAAATTGGCCCCAATCGTTCTGAATCTGTTGCTGTGACTGCTAATGGAGAGCTAATGGTTACAATGAGAGATATGATCACACCAATGAATAATGATGTTAATCAAAGATATGCTGTTTTTGAAGACAAAGCTGTCACTCCTGGTCTGTCAGTTTATAACAGTCAATATGGAGTTAACATTACCGTACTTAGATTTTCTTCTGTAATCGTATCACTTGAGTCCTTTCGTATGATTGTCAAGGAGACCCCTAACGTATTGGAGGTCAGTTTGAGGGGAAGTATTATATCAGATTGTCTTAATGCTTACATGGTTCCATTATCTGTACACTGCCTCAAACTAAGAGGATTAGATGTGTCTCTTTTTGCTACTAGTTCCAGAGATAGTATCAACTTTGATGTAGAACGCTTTTGGAATCTTTTGTCGAAAATGAAATATTTGGAATATTTGTCAATCAGCTGTTTCTCTCTCTCACCACTTAACTCCAACTCACGGCAGCATGATGGACGTTCAGCAGGAGTCCTAACTGATAGAGAATTGGCAGTAAAGGAAAGTGTTATTGGTCACATTAAGAGAATGACCAGACTCAAGGGTCTTCACATCTTTGAAACTATTAGAACTGAAGAACTAGACTATTTTATTAGTCAACATTTGCTTTCAATGATATCAAATCTGGAGTCTCTTTTATATCTGGAAATCAATATTTCATATGCTACAGCTACATTAAAGTTGTACAATATTGAAGGGCTTGAAAGCATTCTTAGGAAATGCCAGAAACTTTCGATTCTTATCATTAGATGTTCGCTAGTCAAAGCTATCGAACTACCAGTAGATCCAGCACTGTATGGTAACCTCACTCATCTCTATATGGATTGCCAATGTAAACCAATAAATTTGGCATTTGGTGATGCTCTGTGTATTAATAGTAAGAAAAAATTGAAACATTTACTCTTGAGACATCATGCCAGACTTGCAGAAGATTTTCTGGATAAAATGATAAAAGAGTCTGATTTTATCACCCTTTACGAAGCTAAACGAGATATTTTTAATCGATATGACCGAAATAGAAGTAAGAATTGGGGTAAGCTGTCAGTGGTAGACTGTCATGTAGCAGAGTTTTCAACTTTACATTAATTACAAAAAGGTTATGTTTATAATAAGAATTGTAGCTACTGATTAATTTTTGTGTTTTGTAGTGATTATTGACAAAATTTTAACAGGCATTTTGAAAATTTAGAATTTCTACTAGCCACACCCCTTAAATGACTCTTGAGACGCCATGCCAGACTTGCAGAAGATTTTCTGGATAAAATGATAAAAGAGTCTGATTTTATCACCCTTTACGAAGCTAAACGAGATATTTTTAATCGATATGACCGAAATAGAAGTAAGAATTGGGGTAAGCTGTCAGTGGTAGACTGTCATGTAGCAGAGTTTTCAACTTTACATTAATTACAAAAAGGTTATGTTTATAATAAGAATTGTAGCTACTGATTAATTTTTGTGTTTTGTAGTGATTATTGACAAAATTTTAACAGGCATTTTGAAAATTTAGAATTTCTACTAGCCACACCCCTTAAATGACAAAAATTTTGAGATTAGAAAAATCATAGATGGAAAAATTGACCTGTACCGCAAGTACCACAGGCATAGCTGCGCTGCATAATGGCTTGCCGGGTAAATGGTATAGAGGAAGGAGGTGTACAAGTACAAGATGTAGAGGAACAAGAGACCATTCCAGGTTAGTTCCTTTAAGGCCCCCATACACTAGGCAACATGTTGCTTGCAACATTTGTGGTTACTTTGATCTTGTAAGCAACATGTTGCCTAGTGTATGGGGGCTTTTAGACTTTTAGTTGGCTGAGTTTAACCGTTAGATTCTATTTAGAATACACCAATGATGAGGTCATAGCTTCAACTGAGAACTTACCTTCTTGCGATGTGACAGTCTTTGGACTAAAACTGGGTTTGACACTAGCAGAAATTAAAGTCATAAAAGCTGAAACCAGTGACACCAGATTGCATGGCTTTCAGATTTATACTACCTGGAGGAATAAGCGGGGAGTTCGTCTAACCAAGAAGGACCGTGAACTGTTGTCTGCATTTTTTACTGGTACTAAACATCGCCGTAGTGACTTCACCCAGAATCGCAATAGACCAGAAACTATTGCTGGTCAGTGGTTATAATTATTGTTGATTACAATATGTATGTCTATCTAACTTACATGGAATTTATTTTTTCTTTCATCACCCATAGGTCTTACAGATTGTGCTGTTTACCCAATGCTAGAGAGTTTATTTGACAATGGGCAGAACAGCAATGTCGACGCTGCCAAGCTCAAAAAATTTGGCTTGGCTCTAGGTCTGGAGAGTGCAAATATTGATAGTATCCTGAATCGAAATAAAGGAGAATATGAAGCAGTCATTGCTCTAGCTATTTTTACAGCATGGAAGAGTAACATACCTCCAAATGAAGATAATGATGCACTCAAGGCTCTAGATGATGCTTACCAGGCAGTTATGCAAGATGGTAAGGTGCAGTATTATTTTTAAGAATTATATAAATTAATGGGCTTTTATTAGGTCTTAAGCAAAGGACAAAAACCACACCAATTCCGCCAAATTCTACGACAGAAAAGTTCACAACATCACTACCAACATATCTTGGTAACACTGAAGAAGAAGAACCTCTTATTAAACTTAACAAGAGTACTCGTAGATCTAACAAAAGTACTAACAGGAGTAATCGTAGATCAATAAATTCCAATCAAGGTATTATAACATTTATGTATATATGTGTTTAAATTACTTACAGTAGATATAGGTATGGATGATGTCAATCCTGATCCTAAACCATCAAGTTACAAAAGTAATTAATACTAATTATTATTATTAATGTAATAATTAATTTTATTTCAATCATTAGCTGCAGCCTGTATTTCGTTTATATTCTGCTTGATTGTTGCAGTTGCAATAGAAGTTTCATTGCTTACACTCGCTTTCAGCTACAAGCAAGAAGAAACAGTCACCATATTACCAGGAGACACAATACGTCTCCCTCTCCCAGCATATGTACCTCCTTCACTTGATATAGTGCTATGGGGTCAAGAAGACACTTGTAGTGCAGAAGTATTGCTAGCAAAGTGTAGCAACATTGAAACAAGGGAAGAAGTATTAAGCTCTCTTCCTCATATTGATTTTAATTATCTTGTTTCTCATTCCAGTGTTACCATTAGTGAAAGCGTCATAAGACCGTATGAAATTTGGCTCTTTTCAGAAGAAGTTGATGCTGATTCTGCTGTTAAGGAACAGTTTCGTGGTCATCATTGTCCATCTGCAACTGATCATGAAGCTCTCTGCGCTTTGCTAAAAGTAGGAGAAAAAGCAGTCACAATAGATGTTACTGAGTCTTCATACTACTTCTTTCGCTGTGATCAATTCCCTTTCAATTGCTCTCAAGTCAATACGTGGGGCATTAACAAAATGGTCTATGACTTTAATGTACCTCCTGATGACATTATTGACAGTGCAATAGTACATGTACAGAACATCTCTTCCAGGATTAGGATAAGATCCAGTTATTTCTATTCTGAAGGTTCTGTCAGTGATCTATGCTTGCTTGCACAGCTCAACACAACTGTGTGTGGATCAGATAACTTAATATACCGTATGGACATGACCTATAGCTCGATATTCCATGAAGTGTTGGTATATGCCACAATACTGGTTGGTCTAATCATGACTGTCCTGCTAATAGCCTGTCTCATTTGGTGCTACAGGAATAGATGTAAGACAACTCAGTGAATTTCAAGGAAACATTAACTCCTTTCAATGAAGTGTAATGATAATTATTTGTAATAGTACAATAGTAATAATAATAACTGTTATGTCTACATGTGACTATTATTACTCAGGGTCACTATCATTGTCATCATCAGGTGGTGGAGGAGGTAATTTGATTGGTTGGTTGTCACTGCCTAGTGGAGCCATCTGAATAATGCCTTTCCTAAAAAGGATGCAGTATGCATTGACAAAAATAGTAACACTGACTCGTTTAATTTTTGTATAAGATCATGAAGCTCTCTTGCTTCTTTCTCCTTCTCTTCGTCAGTCATTCCTTCAAGAGCTGAGGCTCCATCTTTAGCAGGTCCACCTGTCATCATGTCCAACCTAAAAAGGAAAACTGTTCACTCTATATAATAATAATTGCATGAAGTGTTTCTATACTGTACTATTAATAGATTAAAGTACATTAACTAGCATTAAGTAATCTTAATAGGCTATAAATAGCACTCGGTACTATTAATAGTTTGCTGCTTAAGTACTTGGATTGCATGTATTCTTCAGTGTCAGAATCTTCCTCGTCACTCGAGTAATTTGACTGGCCGGGAGACGTCCCCCCTCCCAGTAACCCACGTGACATCAATAGACCAGCTGCTCTCCCATAGCCTGTGTACTTCACCAGAAGGGATACTCAAAGGGGCGTGGTTATAAGGGCATTGGGTGAGTGTGAATTACTTGCCATTTTCTTTGCAAAGTACGAAAAGGAATTCGGCG